ATAATAAAATCTTAAAAAACAAACAAAACTTTGAAAGCTTATATTCTTTGATGTGTCTTTTCTCCCAGTAGATAATAAATTCTATTAGGTCAAGTATCTGGTTTTATCCAGCAATTGTTCTCAGTATCTAAAATTGTGGGTGGTATTAGGTAAGTGTTCACAAATACTTGTTAAAGACCCAACAGATAGCACTACTGTTTCAAATAAATATATTAATAGAATGCAGAAAAATCAGGGTATTTTAAAAGCTATCTGAATTTGAATTTTCCTCTAAGTTAGATCCATTTAGGAAAATACCTTGCTTGCAGAAGTGATATATCACTTAGACTAGACTTAATTGGAAAAAAGGAGTTCCTACATTTCATAATACAGGTTTAGGAGAAATCTTTCTGATAGTTACATGATTAAACATAAAATGAATAGCAAGTGATACATTATGCATTAAAGTATGTTAACACATACTTCTAATTTCATATATCCTGCAGGTGCACGAGATGATTACATACCACTACTAACTGCTGTTAGCCAAGGTCATCTAATAAATTGCAACGGGCAGAGTTGGACCCTGGTTACATTCCAATCATGGGAAAGCAAGACTCCAATTTTAAAATTCCAATTTAAGAAGTACTATGTTTGTCATTACTGCATAAGGGAATTCTAAAAGCAAAGGGAATGCTTCATGGACTCAGTTGCAAGTCAATGCCAGAAAATGCTTGTCTAACTTTCTCAGTGTTTTCTGTACCAGCAGGGCGGGGGGTGGGGGGGGGGGGGAAGGTCGATAGTATTTTTGCAAGGTATAAATACTTCTAAAATTTTACAATGTAAAAATTAATTATAATTTTTTCTCACAACTGTCCACCTAATAACAGCTGTCTCCAAACATTTGACTTTATTTTTCCAAATTTAATAAAGAGCTAACAATAGCCTCTGTAATTATGATTTAAAAGGTTGCCAGTTCATTTGTCACCCACATAATGAGAAATAACCCAAAAGTCAACATACAGGCCTAAGACACCCAATACTACCAAAAGGCAGTGCACTCCTTAAAGGCTTCAAATGCCTTTGGTAGTTTTTCCAACAAATAGCAAACAGAACTATCATTGTTAAAAATGTGAAAAGAGCATATTGTTTGGAAAGGAAACAAGAGAAAGTGAGCAAGGAAAAAGGAGGGAACAAGATGGCAAAATACTGGAAATGAAATGGGCTGACAGAAAAGAACTAAGAAGAGGTGTTTA